GAACTCATTTTATTGTCCTTTAACTTTACAAGTAACAGATGCCTCCTCCATCTAAAATCCAATATCATCTAGAATCAAAAGAACAAGCACGGTTAGAAAAATACTAGGTTCTAACAGATGAGAAGAAACACAATAGACACATACTCTAACCTTGTGTGCCCACAGGCATAAAAAGAGGCGTTTGGCACCCAAAGTGAGGAAGTGTCAACTGAGCTGCACGAGCACGATTAAATCGCCCAAGAACCTAAACAAAAAACGGAAAAGAAAAATTCAAAATTTAGTAAAGAAAATTGAAACAAGAAACCAGGATATAAAATACAGTTGATAACCATGCAAATGGCATAGGAAAATTAGAACTGCATAGCTTCTCTGCCCACGAAATCATCAAATATTCTATTTAACCAAAATCTGTTTACTGCACGAATATGCAATAAAACTAAACCATATGAAAAGAAACTCCTCTAACAAGAAAATTCTGCACTGCAATAAAACATTGTCTTTATTTTACATTTGGTACTTAAGGTCTATGGTGTAGGTTTTTCTAAATCTTTGGCCAGGCTGAATCAATGACCAGAGAAACCACAACTTAGAAACCCTGAAGGAAATGGAAGACATAAACCAACTTGGTGCTAATTAATAGAAGATGATAACTACTACAATTAATGAAGCGAATAATGCTACTTCAACCAACATACTTTACCAACATTTTTTTAATAGAGATATGGCACAGTTCAACAATAAGTTCATTATTACAACAATTAAACTAGGCTGCCACATCCACTTAAATAAAAATTGAAGTAAATAGTGTGTTGAAATAACAGTCAAACATTTGACACAAGAAAACATACAATACTATAAATAAACCGTTCAAGTTTTAACAAATATTTCTCAAAACAAATATTCTCACATTGAGATAACATGAATCAACAAATCTTTCTTTCCAAGCGGGTTTTTTTCCTTTCGCTGTCCCCATTGACCGAACTAGGCACCAATATACAACCTCTGATGTTGAAATATTAAAAAAGATAACCTCTTAATTTATTTCTTTCGTGCCCAGATTCCATATTTTCCATCATTTTAAGCTTTATTCGTGAAAGCAAGTATCGTTTTAGCTAACAGGCATAAGACCGGCCCATACGAAGTCCTAAAACATAGATTCAGAAAATCAGGCGTAAAAATTTAAAACTATAACCTCGAAACGAAGCGCCATCAAAGAATTTCCTTATCCTGCAGCTGCTTATCTTGCACTCTGTCGATGAAAATTCAGAAAACATAGGAAAAATAAAAGATTATACAACCAGTATGAAATACCAAAAAGATAAATGACAAACAAACACAGACGGGCCATTAAAGCATTGCGCGCACATTAAAGCACGGAGCGTTGACTCCTTAAGCTTGTAATGTGGAAACGAAATGTCAGGCTTATTCTCATGCCATGGTGTTTAAGGTAAAACAATTGATGGAAGTCACGAATAATTTAGAATACTTTACAGAAAAGTCGACTGACGAAGGTGAAGAAAGTGCCTCTAAATCTAATATGCTGCAGGCGGCAGCACCTAGAAGCACGGCACCTTCTTCCTCCTCGGCGGCTGTGCGTATGTGCGCCAACTCGCGGTCTTCTTTATAACGGGCAGTTTCGGTTAGGTACCAGGGCATTTCGGATCTTATGGGTTTTTTATTCAGTCGGCCTAAGAAAGTATTCAGTGGAGAGCCGTTAGTGTCTCTTTGGGCTGTCATTGCTAGGTTTTGAATTATTTGGGCTAACATTAAAGGTTAAAACTAAATGGCTCTACAAAATATTTTCGTTCGTAGATGGTTTGTGTGCAAATATGTACGTACCACGCACCTATTTAAGAATTCTACCTAGTTTTTTTATGTATTGTAATATTTTAATTTTATTCGGATTAATTTTTCTCTACTATTATTTTGATTTAATGTTCGGAAATGATGAATATCTTTTCTTAACATAATGAGGCACTCAAATATATTTATTTATTTTATTTTATTTTATTATGTTTTATTTTTGTATTTTAAAATTATCGGTACTTTTTTATTTGTATATCATGAAATAATTAGGGTTGAATATACAGATAACATCGCTCGAATCCCTATAAACATGATAAAGTTAAAACAAACAAAATATAAAAATAATAATTAATTAATTAAAATAAGATAAAAGTAATTGTACTTGCAAATTAAATCAATGCGACTACAAAATAGATAAATCTTATATCATTAGTTAATCATAATTAATTCATAATATGTCTACAAAACACTGAGTCGTATGTTATTAATAAAGTATGAATTTGTGATATTATGATTAATTGTTATTTTTTTATTTAAAAAATTTTTAATTATTAAATAATTTTATTTAAATACAACATAAAATATATTTACAATGTATTATTTTTACAATAATTAATTTACTATAGTAATTACAATGACTATGAACCGTGTAAAAAAATATCAATAATTATATGATAAAAAGCTACAATATATAATTTTATTTTTAAAAAATATTATAATACATAATTCATGTGAAAATTAAAAATGATTCACAGTAATTAATATATTATTACCAAACCTCTAAACACGTATGTTATATCAAACTAATTGTCACTCTGTACTATTTTAACTCTAAATATTAATTTTAATATTTTATTTAAATTGTTGTTATTTTGTTGGTTAAGCAACCTTACATATATATTTGGAATAAGTATAAAAATATCATAAATTTTATTTCTAAATGTACATTTATTTTGAAGTTGTAGACAATTAAAAAAACTGTTAAAATGATAAAAAGGGGCATCACCATCTAATGCAATATATTATTCTAATATATTTTTGTATACATTTTTTAAAGTGCAACACAAATTCACATATTTTATAGTGGGACTACAAATTTTAATATCTATTTTTTCTCATAACTTAAATTTATTTTTGGTGAGAACAATTAAAAAATAGTCAAATGGCAATAAAATGATTAAAAGCTACTTGATTATTCAATAAAAAATATGAAAACAGAAATATTAATTTGATTTTATAATTTAGATAATTTCAAAATTAAATTACAAAACTTATAAATACTCATGAATATTATATCTGGTTGTAGCTCATATCATATAGGTATTTTGTAACACCCAAATAAAAAAAAATAAAAATTTTATTTATTTTTATTTTTATTTATTTTTTTATTTAATCTAATTTAATTTAATTCAATGAAAATAAAAATAATAATAATGATAAAATTGGGTAAAAATATTATTTGAATTAAATTGAAATTGATTTTGGAAAAAAAGATGTGAAAATTTGGATTTTGGGGGTGTTTTTGAAAAGAAAATCGGAAACCAGGGGGTTAAAACGCAATTTAGAAAAGATGTGCCACGTCAGCAGCCACGTCAGCGGCCCGGTCAGCAGCCCCGGCCAACTAGAACGCGCCGCGTGGCAAGGCAACGCTGACCAGGGAACGGGCCATGTGGGCGATCCGCGTGCGCGCGATCGGACGACCCAGATCCGTTCCCACGCACACGGACGGCCCAGATCAAACGTGCGCACGGACGGCCCAGATTCACGCGCACGGACGGCCCAGATTGCATCGCGATGAACAGTCCAGATTTAATCCCAATTAAATCGCGATCGAACGGCCCAGATTCAATCTTGATGGACGGTCGAGATTAAAAGGCAAATGGTATAAATACTCCCACCTACACCTGACCAAAGAAATCCTAGCCGCCAGTGCTCGCCGGAGAATAAGAACCAGACACCGGAGGAGCCAGCCGCCGCCGTCGCACCGGGGAAGTTTCCGACCGCTGATCGAGGTAATTTTTCTCCCCTTGCTCATTTTTCGATGCTGAGTCCGCCCATGGCCAAACCGGAGCCAAGCCACCAGCCAAACGGCCGGAAAATCCAGCCGAAACCCAGCGGCGCCGCCGCACCTCTCATCGGTTTTTGCCTCCGATGAGGCCCTTCCCGGCCTCCGTTTGATGCAAATTTTATACCACTGTGATCACCGTTCTTTTCTATACAGGTTGATCAAAGCCAAACATCAAAACGAGACTCACGCCAGAGGAGCCGCCGCACCCGAGAGCACCGCCGCTTGTAAGTTTCGGTTTCTCATGATTTTTCGGCCCACCGAGGGCCCTAGGGTTGTTCTATCGCAGGGACCGATACAAGCGTGGCCGAATTCGGCCGAAAACGGCAAACCCGAGGCGAATCGCCGCCGTGCCGGAATTGCGATATTGGCCGAAATGGGTCATAGGTCTAATTTGGGATTTTTTAGGACACGTGCAGGTACCAGTAGTGCGTTTCAGTTCCCCAGAAAAAATTCAGGAAAAATTATGGACAGCCTGTAGGCGCACTGTAGAGCCGTATTCATACCCCGAAACAAGTAAGGACCCCTCACCCTATTTCCTATCACGGTATTAAAGTTCAATAAATGATAAAACGGTATTTCATGAATCAATAGATGTGTGGAATTGTTTAAGGTCGCTAATGGAGCCCGAGTCTGGTGTATTTGTCGGTCAGTTGTTGTTTGTTCTATTTTACAGTTTTAAATGCAATATGATGTCTGATGTCTTCATTTCATAGTTTCGTGTGCATATATCACTATTTTATTGATTATGGGTTGAATGACTGAGAACCCAATGTTGTGTGTTGTCTTGTTTGACATAAACTACTGATTTGCATGTTTGTGTGTGATTTGATGATGGTGACTGAGAAAAAAAAAGAATAAAAATGTTACGTTATTGGTAAATGGATAATGTGGACAGCCTGACTAGATATCCTGGGAGATGGTGGACGGACCGGGTTCGTAGGGAACTCTACCGGGAACGTGGTCTCTCATACCGGACGGGGTATGGAGACCTTATGTGTTTTGGCGCCCATACCGGACGGGGTATGGGGACAGCCCGTTTCACCCTCATACTGGACGGGGTATGGGGACGGCCCATTTCACCCTTATACCGGACAGGGTATTGAGGTTCATGGTTTTGGCGCCCATACCGGACGGGGTATGGGGATGGCCCTGGAATCAGGTTATAAATGTTAAGGATTCACGGGTAGCGGGACCCCTATGGATCCCCATGGATACTAGTAGGCTGGTAAATGAGGAAAATATGTTGTTTAATGATTGAAATGCAAAGGCGTGGCAAGTATTATGTTATACAGTTCATATGATTTCATGATGATGATAATGTTATTGCTTTCATATGTTGTTTTATGTATCTCACCGAGGTAAGTGGATAGTAAAGGATTTTATTATTGATAAAAGAATTTGTTATAAATTATGCTTCATTGGTCTTTTTGTGTTTTCTACCCACCTTTACCTCCGTGGCAGTGAGACAGTGTGATGTCTTTACTGGGCTGGTGTAGCTCATTCCTTATTTAACCATTTCAGATCAGGAAGACATTGTTCTCGAGCCCGTTCCGCAGGAAGACGGCGAAGGGGACGCCTAAAGACTCCGTAGTTATATTTATAGTTATTATTTTCGAGTATCTCTTTTAGTTAATTTGTTCTTTTATATTTTGAGCACGTTTTTTTTTTTATGTAAGGAATGTTAATCAAAATTTTTGTTACGCTTACGCATTTGACATTTTTAATACACATATTTCATATTTAAATTTCCGGGGCCGTTACATATTTAAATTTATACATCTTCATTCATAAATGTCTAAATATAATATTTTAAAAAATATTTTTACGTAAGATAATAGTTACTATCTAATTTATAATAAAAAAATAAAAATAAGAGAACGTGAAAAATGAAAAATTTTGTGATAAATTCACGAGGTTAGATCCTACAGTTGGGAGTTTGTAAATATTAATAAGCCGAGTTTATATTTATAATTGTTTTATTCAAAAAAAAAAAATTAAACCATGCAAATGAAAATTTGAAAGTCAAAAGCTTATCATATTAATGAGGCATGCATGTGACAAACATGTATAAGATTATAGTTACTCGATCTAAAATTCAAACTTCAAACCCTAATTTTGATTTGTCATCTCTATTGAGATTAAATACCTATAATTTATTTATTTTTTTAAATTTAATTTAAAAAATAAATTATCAATATTTTTTTAAAAATTTATCTTAAAGTGTTATTAAACTGAAACGCTAACATCCACATATTAATCGTAGTTTCAACTGTATATGTTAAAATTTTTTATTTAAAATGTTTAGCATAATATCATTGTTGATATAAATTTAAAATAAGTAAATTTATTTATTAACTATTTATTAATTGTCATATGTAATATTTTCATTTTAGTAAGATTAATTGTCACATTTTTTATTTTTTTTAAAATTAAAGTTTATTATTATTATTGTCGTTATTATTATTATATGAAATTATAAAAAAAAGAGAAAAAGAAAAAAAAACAAAAATAAAAGAAACAGAGAAAATTAAAAAAGAAGAGAGTAAAAATGAAAATTAAAAAAAGAAAAAAAGAGAGAAAAATTAACAAAAAAGGAGATAAAAGTGAGTTAAAAATGAATAATAGAAAATGCGAGAGGAAATACAGAAAAAAATAAAGAAAAAAAGAGGGAAATAAAATTTAAATCTCCATTTTATCCCATTTACCATGTATATTTTTTAACTTATTGTATCAAAGAAAATGTTTACGAGCTTAGCCTAGACCAAAATCAGGAACCGGATGAGTTAGAACCAAGATTAAGGCTCGATTTTGTCTAAATAAACCTAGTCCGCAGAATTAGCTTAAGCCCAGCCCACATAATCCATTTAAAATTAGAGCGCAACGGTGCCGTTTCACTCTAAAAATTGTTCCATTCCTCTTCCGTCGCTTTCAATCAACAGAAAGCGGAGGGTGGACAGGAGCGTTGAGAGAGAGTGCGAATCTGGAGGCTTCCGCTTGAGAGATCGATCTGGTTTTCTTCTTCCTTTTGGGCAAGAGAGCAGAGGAGACGGCGGGAAAAAGGAGAAAGAGAAGGAAGAGGGGAGCTGGGGTTTTTTTTGAGATAAAAACAGAGGGAGGAACGCGACGGAAAGAGGAGGGGAGCGCGGCCGGGAAAAGAGCGATGGTTTTTCAGGTTTGGTGGCAGAGAAAAAACACAAGGCTTTTCTTATTCGGGAGAGCTGGCAGAGACAAGAAAACAAAGGGGGGCGCGAGAGAAAATATATTTGTTGAGAGCCAGTAGAGGATAGAGTGAAAACAGAGAGGGAGGAGAGCGTGATCTAAATGCCGAAAACCAGAAGGGCCCTCTTGTTTCTCTAAAGAGGGATTGTGAGAGTTTTGGTGTGTTCATCAGTAAAAAAGATCGAAGAAGAGGCGAAGGAAAGATTTAGGTCCAAGCGTTTGCCGACTTTAGGTATGGTTTCTTTGAATCTTTATTTATTTTCTTGTACGGTTTAGATGTGATCTCAAGGATATCTTGGATTTAAGAGGGCAAGATTGTAACTGATCTTCTTGAAATGGAATGAATTTATTTGAGATTTTGAAGAGGAAGACTATAATATATGAATGTAGTTCCAGTCCTATTATAATAAATTAACGTAGACGGTTTAATTTATTGGATTATGCACTGTCTTTTTTTCTAATTGTGGGTCATTGAATGAATTTTTGGAAGGAAGGCAAGATTTGTTCACTTAAGTGTGTATGTATCACCATTTTTCTTTTGACTGTTTCAATTAATCATCTTATTTTTTTTCTGGTTGTTAAATCATCTTAAAGGTTTGTTGCTTGCCATTTTTACAATTCATCTGCAATGTCATGGGTGTGTTATCTCTTTTGGGGTTGCTTGAATTTCGCTGTTCATGACTAGGAAGAATGGTTTTACTCAGGCTTAATTCATTTTTTTGAAACACTTATTTACACGCATTGCATATTTTATGTCGGCCTTTTCTCTTCATTTGAATGGAAGGTGAAGGTAGAGGCTTAAGTCTTGGTTTTCTTTTTGATCCTACATTTTCTTTCAATATTTAGGTAATAGTTCCATAATATCATTGAACTTATATTGTTCGATTTTGGTTGAGTACTTGTTTGATGCTGGTTACTTTGATGAA